ACTTAAGTACTAACCTACAGACCTAGGGATCGGGTCAAACTTCCCTAGCTACAGACTAATCTACGACACAGGATAGGTTGAGGGTTCGAACCTCACACAGTCACCGGGAAGATGTACAGGGCACAGGCACAGGTCTAGGGATCGAATCTCACTCATGTACAGGGTTCGGACACAGGTCTAGGGGTCGAATCTCTGTATCTGCAAATGTCGGGTTAACTGGGTGAAACCGTTTCAGCACGAACAAAACAAAATAAAATGAAGAAGGAAAGTCGCAGCCGTGAAACTCAAAAAAGAAGGCTGAAAAAAATAGGAAAACAAAGCTTTGGCCGTGAAATGCAGTTGTATACATTCTTGGAAGTGGTAGTGTGAGTGTGCCCTTTCTGGTTCTGGTTTTGTCGGCTCTGTTTTTGATGTCTCACTGCTGATTTTTGCTGCATATTATACTTGTAGCAGTTGTTTCTTTTTCTGCTTCTTTTTCTATTTTTTCTCTGCTCTAGTTTCACTGCTTCACAGCTGATTTTGCTGTTCAAGCGCCTTGAGGATAGTTGGTGGATGGTAGGGGCCGGGGGATGGCGGGAGACTCCACTGGTGCCCCCCAGTGACTCTCCCCCCCTATTGCCCGGCCTTGCCACAGGTTAGGATTGGAAGTATGGATTGGATATGGGACGCTGGACCCGGTTGCCAGCACAAAGGCGCCACCTTCAATGATATACTGTATTACATTGATGTATTTTTGGGATGCTGGACCCGGTTTCCAGCAGGTGATGCTCCCCACCAATATGGAGCGGCCCGCCAGGCAAAGCCTCAATCCCGGTGGTTCTCGTACCAGCACCAGGATAGAGGCCTTGCACATGGGCCTTAAAAAAAAAAAAAAAAAAAAGAGTGTGCCCTCAGTCAGGGTGTCTCAGCCCCGTGGCCAGGTTGTCAGATTCAAGAAGGACAGAGAAGGAGCCGTTGTCCACGGATGGGACCAGGCTTCAGCAACACTCGAACAAACAACTACAACGATAACAGGCTGTTGGTTGAATGAATGGGGTGTAGCAGAGCATTGCCTACAATCGGTTACCAATTCTCCTAGCAACAGTCAGGAGACCTGTGTATACTATCACTCACCATAGGGTCTTGCCCCACGGCACACGAAATGAAAACGAAACGAATGCATCCGCCCACGAAAGATGGCAAAATACACTCGTTATTATTTATAGCTAACCGATGAATCTGGCCATTTTCTGCAGGAAGATGCACTCGTTTCGTTTTTCGTTTAGTGTCCCGTGCGGCGACGCCCATAGGCTGTCATGTAGGCAAGTAACTCAGACTGCTGTGTAGGTCTACCTGTCAAACTTCATAGATGAGCCCGGTAGCTTGTTGTCAGTACTAATGCATGTCTGTTCTTCTAGCAGCCGTCACGATACCGGTGCATACCATCACTCACCATGGGTTGTCACGGAGGCAAGGAGCTCAGTCTGCTGTGTAGTTCTACCTGCCAAACTTCATTCTCAGTAGGTGAGCTTGCTGTCAGTACAATTGCATATATGTTCACACACACAAAAAATAAAAAATAAAAAAGAAGAGAAGGAAACACAGATTCTGCCGTGATAGTGGCTGGATACATTCCTCTAAGTGCCAGTGTGATCACATTACAATCTTCCAAGGAAACATAGCTTGAGCAGATCACAGCTTCCTCTCTGCCTCGCTGGCAGGGGACTCGTAAGATAAGAAAAGAAAGGGAACTGGCCGAGCTCAGTTGGTACACCCCTGAACTGTTGAAATAAAGACCTGAGTTTGAACTCCACTGAAGTCAAGTGACTAAAATACTACCATTCTGAATAACCTAGGGGCTGGTCAGTTCGATGATGATATCTCAACGCCATCGCCCTTTTTAAAAAAAAAAAAAGAAAAAAGAAAGGGAATAAAGAAGACAACAACATCCACAATCCGACCCTTTTAGCTGTAAGATTCATTCTGTGGAGGACTACTGTGAGCAGGGCCTCCTAGACTACCCTGCCCGACATCATTGTAGGAAAGATAGAATCTTCTTTTTTTGTTTTTTTTTCACGAGCCGGCAATGTAAAACTAAACTATATTCTTCTTGCCAAGCCTCTGGGACCTCTGGAATTTCCGGGGAAAATGGGAAAACTGCCAGTTTTCCCTATTTTCCCAACACTGACGGAGTTACTAGTGGTTTGAACCGCCATTACACGGCCTCAGCCTTGCTCAAAAAGAAACTCGTAGGCTACGAAAAAATTGGAGGCTCTGCCTACTGAACCACGATGGCTGGCGACTCCAGGCAGAACAGAAAAAAAGTGCGCCACTGGTGGTTCGGAAAAGCTCAGCGTGCAGTAAAGGGCCTGCAGTCTCAGGTTTACTGGTGGTTAAAGCTGGACAGGGTTTGGGTATAGATACAAGTCGGGTTAAAGCTGGAACTGGATATAAGGGGAGTGGGGTACAGATGCAATTTTCCCCAAGTTCACAAGTCCCAGTGTGAGTACTCCCTCAGATC